GACTTTCCTTTTCGAGCTAGAATAGTAACGAATCGTTTTGTACCATAGCAACGTCGACTTATCCAGATATTGAAATTTACTCAATTGCTAGATACAACACAGACAAGTATTTCAATAACATGCTGATAATTTGTAATCTATGATTATTATAACTTATAACTTACCTATTATAATTATAATTATCAGACATGATATTTTGCTACAGTTCGGACTTAGTGTATTAGTATAACGATACATAAGCGAGTACTTTTAATGATTCTTCGCGATCGTAAAAATGGGACCGAGGAAAGTATGGGAAAGTAAGCGTTCGAATGCAATCGATTAGGTTATTATCTTTCCAGTTGTTATGGAAGAAATGATCCCTAAACCGATAAAGCAGTTTCCATTGGATTAAAGACATTCGATTTTATACTTTGATGGCTTATAACTGCCACACAACTGGCTAAAATAATGCAAAAGAAAAGCATAAATAAGTGGGTTTTCAAATAATATTTTTACCATGAACGATACCGTCAAAGTTTGAATACCATCATTTTATATTTTCTGCATTGAGGATACTTTCTTGCTAGAATGGCTTTTAAATGCATTCCATCATGCTAAGAAATCCTTGAAACTCTTAATGAGCAAGTTGATCGACACGTTTGTTGTAAGATTTTCTCTTGAGTGCAGCCCCTAATTTTTGTCTTCCTCAACCGTAATATCAGAATAGCTGCAAACAGATAGGCTAACCTGTCCATCTTGGGTATGATCCACCATGTCGACATACGAATCCAATCAAGAATTACTAAAAGAAAAAATCCAGTCCACTTCTTAACGTTTTCATAAAAGCTAAAGGATTCAAAATTTATCCCCAGTAATAAACGTAAATGCATTGACTAGAGCATTACTCCAATCCTGCCCATATATAATAAACTCTACCTGGTTTTAGTTCAATATCATTGACCCATGAAGACAAGAAAAAAGAGACATTCCATTTCCAAAGGCAATGGCGATAATGAGTATAATATCCCTTGCCTTACATTGATCAGGAAGAATTGTGTATTGGCATACTAAGCTTCTATGGTCATCTATCCTAATTTTAGTAGAAAAATGTGCTAATGAATGTTACATTTATAGATGACAATTTTTCTGCCATAATGGCCTCTACAGGATCTAACAGGCAATCTTGACTTGATGCTGATCAGATAAAGTGAGATTGCTAGTTATGGCTATTATAATCATCATTGATGGAGTCCTTTAGCATACTATTTTACAGAGCCTGCAGATGCTTCTAACGTATTTCCGTTCTCATCTTTTGAACAAATAGAGTGAGATGGTTGTTGATATCGCAAAGGCTGCATCCATGATGGCAAAATAACTACGATGGATTTGTTATGGAGTTCATATCACTCGCTAGGAATACAGTAGACTATCCCAATTTTTCCTTCAAGTATCTTTCTTTCCCTTTTAGAATAGAATATACCGTTCTTGAACAGATTTAGTATGGAATGAAGAGTTACATCTTTAGGCTCATCAAAATTAAATGCCTGCGACTACAAATATTTTCTTGTCAATCATTTTGAAAGATTTTGGCATCTATTTCTCTATTGCAACACCACGACATGAATGCTAATTGTTGATGATATGATCGCTCTACTAATTATTTGAGTATCGCATTGGATTCAATTTTCAAATGCTACCACCGAATATCGGTTGCTGTCTTTAGGACAGATTGAATCAGCATTTTTATCATCCCTGATGATGGCATCCTACTACAAATCGGAATTTGTAACGAGGAGAAAATTGTAGCATCCCATTTATAAAATCTGCTAGTACTATCACCGCTACTGAGTGTTTTAATACCGTATCTATGCTACAAAATCTCGAATCACCATAAATCGGTTAGTTTTTTTTTGGTAGCCCATAGAGGGAGGTTATCAATGAGCATTGATGATTACGGATGGCCTTGATAAGTGCTTCCACTCTATGTATGCCGGTTACTTTCTTTTTCACGGACGTTGTTAAATTGCTAGTGATGGCTTAGAAGCATCGCTTTAATTTATAATTGAAAGAAACTCTGATTCATTTGATTTAAAAATACAGTGAAGAAAAGCAGACTGATTGCTAATTCATCATACTGCAAAGTAATGCTAGTATTAATTGAAAAGGAATCTTGATTTATTGGATTCCAAAATGCAATGAAGAAAAGTAGACTAGGAAAGAAATAGACCGTAAAGTAATCTCTAGTATGCACTGATTGACTGCATTCATTTCTATATAGTTGTAGGAAATTCTCAGGCATGGCAAGTATTAATCAAGCGAGGAAGGTATTTTACACCATCTGCACGCTGATTTTGGCTATGATCGGTCTAATTTCATACTGGAGATATCACATCAACAGCGAAAAGTTTCAATCCATCTCGTTATGGCTTAGCGAGAACGGATTATCCGATTTTGAAGATGCTTTTTGGATGGAAGGTAAGCTAAGAGGTTAACGTAGATTGCTTACACTATACTGCATAGAAGAGTAGTTGAATAGGAAGGTAATCTAATAGACCAACCGATCAAGACCCTATCCATTCCATATTCCAATAGACTTTATTAGTACATTTGAATTTTCATTATTGCTTTATGGAACTGAATAAGAGGTTCACGTTACTGGATAGGATTATCTATTCACTAATATCGGATATTTTAAATAGTATTAACCTCTCAGCTCAGTAAAAGATATTCCTATTCTATTAAAGTCACCAATTTAATCTAGATCACTCTTTACTTGACCGATATTCATTCTATAATAAGTATCAAAATGGGAATATGCTGACTTTTTTACCTTAGGAATCGTATCCTTGGATGCTTGTGCTAATCTTGATCTCGATCGACTACACCAATATATTGCATTTAGCCAACTAGATCATTCTAAGATTGATCGCATCAATGCAGCAGTGATCAGATTACGAGAACGATTGAAATTTGTCAATTGGCTAAAACGTTATAGTCTGCAAAATTATGCTATCAAATTATTCGATATGGGAGTGGATAATGTCCGCAAAGTGATCCAATTAAGCGAAGCAAAGTTGAACGAATTAACCTCTCATGATGTTACCGGACAAGAAAATGCAAAGTTAAAATTAGCCATTCAATCTCTGGTAGAGGAAATTGAAGAAATGGCAAGTTCTATATGGAATGGCCCGATCGTCATTTACGCTCTTTCTATTGCTTATCCAGGTAAAATGAACGATAATTTGATTTAATCTTATTGAAAACTGTAAAATTAAATGTGACGAGTAATATCAACTTAAATTCATATTTAAAACTCAAAACTTAGGATGGCTACTATTAGTAAGCTCCCTTACAGGCTAGCGCCATTACTAAATGCGCAATAATTATATTAGCTATCTACCTTGTCATTTATCTCTACCATTAGTTTTCCATTATGCAATCAGGATGTATGCATTAGCTCCTTCATAAGCTAGTGCCATGAACCATCACTAAGAATAGAATGGCTCAATCAGCTACCTACCTTGTCCTTTTCCCCTGCTTCCAGCTCTCCATTATGCAATCATGATGCACAGATTAGCTCCTTTTACACGCTAGTGCCATTAACCATTACTAAGAATGGAATAACTCAATCAGCTACATACCTTGTCCTTTTCCCCAGCTTCCAGTTTTCCATCTTGCAATCATGATGTATAATTTAGCCCATTTACACACTTGTGGCATGAACCGTCACTAAGTAAAAACAGAATGATTCAATCAACAACCTACCTTGCTCTTTCCTCTGCTTCCAACTTCTCTATCGTGCAATCATGACGCACAATGTAGCTTCTTTACAAGCTAATACCATGAACCATCACTAAGTAAGAATGAAATAATTTAATCAGCTATCTACCTTGTTCTTTTCCCCTACTTTTACTTCTTCATCATTTAATTATAATGCATGGATTATATTCTAGTGAATAACTCAAGATAGACTTTTGCTTTAATAAGACGAGTACGGATATTATAGGCCATTTTAAGTAATCATCTGAAAAGTCAATCTATGGCTTTCGCATAAGAAGTTTGTCAAAGCGAGCAGCTGTCTTAAGTATATTGTTCTTAGCTCTCTATGCGGTAATGGTAAACTTCAGGTTAATAGCAAATAAGTAAAGACGTGTTTTTACTTCGGCTTGCTTGCTCCTTTGTAGTATAGCTATACATATGTAAATTTAGATCTGATCTTGCGACTTAATGGGCAAGATAAGATTTGTTACAGTAAAAGCATTCTGTAACTAATCGTATATAAATCGTGAATTTTGCTGTAATAAGTAGATTGTCAGATAGTCAGATAGTCCTTGGTAGTTAGACGAACCTAACTTCTATAATAAAGTGAAATTTGCAAGAAACTGTAGTTCTTGATTTATTGTTTTGAAGATCACTTTATCACAACCTAATATAACCATCATTATATTTAATTGATTAATCTTAATTTTATTTTTTGCTTTAGTCCTCCAATATACAATTATTATTCTTGGTATATCGCTTTTATTTCGCTGGCGTATTATTTGCACTCGCAATCTAAAACTTGTAGCAGATTCCATTATTTATGTTGGTGTCTATGTTGAAGCACTATTATTTCGAAATCATAACGTTGGTACTGTCAGTGATGTGGCTAAACAAGTATCCAAGCTAAATCCAATCAAAGCAATAAAAAATATTCGTAGTAAATTTGCAAATCATTTCAATGTAACATGGCAGTGGAAAGATCCAAAAGTCGTTGGTGGCACTTTGAAATTTTCTATATCGGTAGGTACCAAATCAGTAACAGCATGATAATATAATCCACGAGTTATTCTAAATTTCTTTCTTCTCCTCTTAAAGATCGAGCTAAAGCAAAATGATACTATATGTTACAATCTCATTTATTCTTTAGATAGTATCAACATAGACCTCATGCTAATTCCTTTTTTAAACCTTAATAGCAAGTATCTTTGGTAGGCCAAGCCTGTCCAATCACACCACAAACTAACCTAGAAGTAGAAATGTTGAATCCACTTGGAAATCCTATTGGCATCGTTTCTGATATCAACGAAAACCGATTACTGCCGCATATCGTCAATATTTCCTTTACATTGCATCAAGCAGGAAAATATAAAATCCATATTCGCGTAGATGGAAATGAAATTTCCAATAGTCCATTTCAAAAGGAATTTCTAGCAGGTAACATGAATCTAATAATGAAATAGCATTCCTCTGGGACTTCTATCTTACCTTAATAGCATCCTAAAGAGTGGAGATCGAATGCATAAAGTATCTATCCAAATATTGAACAAATAATTGGATTATTGTTTCTAACTTTGAATCATCTTGTTTAGGGCCTGCTGATCCTCAGCAATCGACGATTGGCATTGCTAGCTCCATTATTGTTGTAACTCGTGATGTTGTGCATTCCTTGCAACTTGACTGCAGAGATAAATTTGGAAATTATTGTAAAGCAATGGAAAATCGATTTGATCTGAAGCTTACGAAGGTAAGGAAGCACTCTTGCTTTATAAGACTACAGTACCTTATATCGTTAAAGTTCCTTCGAAATAGAATATAGCATTAGTGGTAACAAAATACTGTGGCATTGCTTCTATAATATTGCAACTTGTAACTGTCACTACTAATTTATAGCAATATGGTTTGTTTTGATACCGTAACATCAATTCATTTTCATAAGCTAAATCCCCTTTTCAATTTCATTTATGGAATAGATTGGGAATCCTTCTGCTCTAACTAACACCGAGTTAGCCTTGAGTGAGCAAAAATTGGAAACGAAAGTCATTGGAGAAGAGGGTGCCTATAAAGCTCAGCTTCTATATGATTCCGTAATCTTAAAGAATGGCGATTTTACTTTAGTTGTTTTAAGTAGTAAGTACAAAGATGACGAGATATACTGGTGATAAAATTCTTATAGTAAATAGAATATGCCATTATGGATTCTTACGAAATTTCTAAATACCCGTAGAAGAGAAAACTTATCCATTGTAAAGTAAATTACGTCTATTTTTGAGCGTAAAGTTGCACGAATATTCTACTTTCACGATAAAAATTTCTCATAGTATCCAAAATTTCTACCTCAGAATGATAGATCGGCAGCACTAGTGTGATATCCTCCTGCACGTATTATACAGATAGAAATTTACCCTAAACCGATTTACTCATCTTTAGTTTACCAAATTATTTTGGATACCGTGGAGACAGCATGAACTAAGTCGCAAATATTAAGGAATAATTCAAGGCCGTAAGATGGGTGGAATAATAACAGTTTATCTTTAGAAGTGTATGTGCCGTAAAATCATTTATTTCATGAATAATCGGCTATCTCACCTTAATAAGTCATCTTGGAAGATGGGTATTGTAGAAATGCAAGTTTATAAAGTATCTTTAATTTTATCGTTAGCCTCCATTAGCATAAAATGTTCTATACTAATGTGGTATTATTCCATAACCGCAATCATGGATGTAATGCATTCCATTCAAGCCCATGAACGGGATTCAATTTTATAAAGCAACTTTAAAATTTACCCTTTGGCTATTTTAGTTCGAATTACTTGATAACCTCATTCACAGGCGTAATTCATCACATTCAGCTTTATCAAAGAGGAAGCAAAATTTTAACCTTTTCCTCCTGTATTACAGATGTTGATGGCGCCAAATTACATAAGGAAATTGGAAGAAAAAAGATGAATGTTACCTTTGAAGCAAAACTAGCGAGCAAGGAAAACAGCTACCTTGATTTTAGCAAGAAGCCGAAGAAAGTCCACTGCAGTATTTCAGCCAGAGTAAGTTTATAGACAACTATTTCATCGTGTAAAGATTCACAATGCTAACTAGCTTGTATTTCATTTGTATTTTTATCTACATTTTAACAATACTTTATCTATCAAGCTGCATTGTAATCTATCTTTATTATCTATCGAAATAAATACAAGTTAACATAGATTACTGCAAATTAAAATATTAAAATTTGGTAAGGAAATGAATCTACATTTTACTTTTTCCCTTTCTTCTAGCAAATTAAGGTCCGAGAATATTACCTTAAAGTTTTCTCCAATAACGTGTGTTCATTTCGCGTATTGCCTTCAACAAAGGTTAGAACTAGATAGAACTTATTTCTAATTCTCAGTCACCTATTATTAATGGAACCTTCCGATAAAAATCCAAATATTGTGTTAAATGAGCCGTGGTATAAGATAACTACTTGTATTTTATATTTCGGAAATAGTGAC